TAAGTATGGTCCTACCATCTATCTGGGTTATCTTTTCCCTAACTGCAGTCTTTAACGCGTCAAGGTTATCGTACCTTCGCTTGTAAATTTGGTTCTTTAAGTAACCCCACAAGAAGTAATCAAGTGGGTTTAGATCTGGTGATCTGGGAGGCCACTGTATTGGGCCATTTGTTCCTATCCACTGATCATTAAAAGTAGTACTTAGAAAATGATAAGTACCTCTGGAGTTGTGGGCAGGTGCGCCATCTTGCTGAAAATGCAGATGATGTCTACTTATAAGATCCAATTCGTCTAAGAAATTAGTCAGAATTTCTGACATAAATTCCACATATCTTTCACCAGTTAGGGTTCCCTCATAAAAGAACGGGCCAACAATTTTTGAACCAATTATACCGCACCAAACGTTGAAACTGAAACGGACTTGTGGGCCTCTTGGATGTACTAACAAAAGATTTTCTCTTGACCAATAATGGTGGTTTTTTCTATTAAACATTCCAGAATTTGAAAAATTTGATTCATCTGTCCATAAAAGGTAACGAAAGTTATTTACATTTTGGCGACAGAAGCTAAGATACCAATGGCAAAAAACAAGTCTTCTCTCTGGATCCCCTGCCAAAAGCGTTTTAACTGGTCGGTACTTATACGGAATAAATTTGTATTTTTTTAAAATCCTTTGAACAGTACCATAACTGAAATTAGAGTCCTTGAGAATATCTGCTATTGAATTCTCACGATAAGCTTCAAAATATCCAATAATTGCAATTTCCGTGGCCTCGCTTATTATGAATTCTTTTTTTGCCCTTGTTTTAGCAAAAACATTTTCGTTGCCCCTAAATTTTCGATAAAGTCTCAGAAAATATCGTTCATACGGTTGAATGCGAACGGGATATAATTCACTGTAGTATTCTCTTGCTCTCAAGGAGGATTTTCTGCACACTAAATAGCATTCTAACATATCACACTTTTCTTCATGGGAGAACATTTTTCTTTAAATTAATGACAATAAAGCTTATAAACAAGTATTTACACTAATGTTTGACATTATTTGATTTTATCATTGTTTTCCAAAGCCTTCTAGTTGCGAGTATGTCCAGTTTAACAATTTGTCGCTTATCTTAATGCTGTCAAATCGCGAACGCCATGTTGTTTTCATAGCCGTCTTAATATTATAATACTGCAAATAATTAAAAATATTTATCGTTATTTTGACTTTATTTTTGACTTTAGCGGAAAAGTCATTATGAACTTTTTTGTTTAAAATTTGATGCTTTAACAGAAAAAAACATAATATACAGGGGTTTCCATTTAAAAAAATGTTATTTTACTGAAAAAAATCAAAATAACGACTCTCAATTGTTTTTTTTTATTTCTCATTTTTACCAGCGTTAAAAATGCTACTAGTTTGCTAATTCAAACAACTTTGTATTTTCACTAATAACAAAGTTACTAATGGTGGACACTTAATTTGGATAACCCTGTATATATATGAGCAGTAGTCATTGCCAAAGCTAACGACCAGTTGGGCACAAAATACAATTAATTGTTAATTGGGAAATTGTCAAATTTTTAGGCTTAAGTTGACTCTTTTGACGATAAAATCAAGCTTTCGGCATTCTCTATGGAGCCTTCATCAGGATTCTGAAAACACAATTGTGATGCTAGCAAATAAAACAGGACAGATTTAAATTGTCAGACAACTTACTCGTCGGTGAGGTTGCAGCCACAAGGTGTTTCAAAACGAACGCAGAGAAGATAGAACTTTTAATCAGTGTAAAAACAAAAGGACGGGGACATTCGGCTTGTTTTAAACGACAGATACCTTCGTTACATGTTAAAAATATCAATCCACCCGAACAAATTAAAAGTATTACACGTGAGAAGGCATTTTAGTGAAACAATCGGAATGCAGTCTCTAACCTCCTACTTCCGCTACACGTGGAGAGGGGACGGCACGGAAAGATAAAGCGTCGACAGATGACAAGTGATTGACGCAACGGACCGTGGAACTGTAAACCTCCTTGTCCAAATTTGGGTATGAAGTATACGAGGGACGCTCGGTAAACCTCCACCCAAAATTACTAAAATGCTGAATTAATTTGTTTTGGAAAAAAGTGTGTAGTTCATATGAGTGTAAGAATGTGTGATATTGATACAACCTTGAAAAGATGGGTTATGTGAGTTTATATTAAGAAATGTGAGTGAGAAAATGTATTCTAATTTTGTGAAGATGTTGGTTCAATTTGGATATGTAGCCGTTCTAGCTTTTCGCAATTCAACAGGTAGGAATAAATGACACTGAGCTGCTTAACATCAGCCTTTTTATTCATGCAATGATCTGTCATGAAAATGTGGGACATTTCTAAAAATAAACGTTTTGAGAGTCTTTTTCTTTATAAAGGACCTCAATACTGCCATAATTCATAGAGTGACCTGTGTTGTTAATATGAGATGCCAAAGCACATATCTCTGGATGTAATCTGGCGTCACTTTTGTGTGAAGTTATCCTGCCTTTCAGCGACCTAGAAGTTTGGCCTATATAAACTAAATTACAGTTGTTGCAATTAATGCGATAGACAGTGTTGGTTGAATCAAGCAATTGAACCTTATCCTTCATTTTGGACAACAAACTGTTGACTGTGAGCACTGATTTACAAGCAAAACGACAATTAAAGGAATTATACAGCCTGATCAATTTTGGTGTTAGTTCTTTGATGTATGGCAAGACAACATAATTAACTCTGGAAATAGGAGCAACCACTGTAGTGCTGTTATTCTCATTGATTGAAGAATTCATGGGTATCTGGTTGGACTGAACAGTGTTGTCATTTTCACTATTGTTATTCGTCATCGGCAAAATATTCGGAGGAGAGCTGAACAAGATTCTGTTAACCAAATACTTAGGATAGCCATTGTTGATAAATAAGACTGAAAGCTTCCTTAAATTGGAAAGATGGAAAGTACTGTCAGAGATTTTTATAACCCTGTTCTTCATTTGTTTCATCAGGTTTATTTTTATTTCAAGTTCGTGGTAAGACCTGAAGTTCTACGTACCTTCGTAACACTTATATAGTTTGATGCTATTAGCCAGTGGATGGAGACTGTATTACTCGAAGCAAGCGAAATATCGTAGTTCAAAGTTCACAACTGGTAAAAAAGACCGGAGGCCTGTATTAACGAAATAATTTGGATATGCTGAATTATTATTTTTCTGATGTTTTTAGCCTTATAAATTGAGTATGGATTCTAATCCTGGGCCCTCAAAGAGAGTAAAATATGGAGATGTTGATTTTGAAGCTACTTTACTGAAACGGCCATAGGAAGTCGATTCTGATGGAAGCGATATCGGATCATGACACTGAGTCGGAGGTTGAATTCGACGAAGAGGACAACGAAAATCTAGGTGAAATAGAAAATCCAGAAAATGTTCCCAGTGGCAACTACGTTTATGGTAAGAATCGCTTTAAATGGTTCAAGGATTCTCCAGTTCCCAAGAATACACGCACGTTACAACACAACATTGTTGTTAAATGCCCAGGACTTAAAAGAAATGACATCTACAGCGCTGATGCTGAGCAAGTATGGAGTCTTTTATTCAATGAGCAAATTCTGAATGTCATTCTTCAATTCAAGAATGCAAGATTGATGAAAATGCGTCAAAAATACAAAAATGCAGCAAAAAACTTCGATATTCGTGATTTGGATCGTATGGAACTTAAAGCTAATTTTTAGATCCAACCATGAGGACATAAGATGGCTCTGGACGAGAAATTTTCCGATGCGTGATGAATGTGAACCGATTTTCAATAATTCTTTCTTGTTTCAGGTTCGATGATGCCGAAACTAGGGAAGAGCGTAGAAATCAAGATCCATTAGTAGCTATTTCAGGAATATTTAATAACTTTGTAACAAATTGCCAAAAGGCTTACACTATAGGAACATGTGCTTGTATCGACGAAATGCTCGTTGCATTTCGCGGTCGATGCAAGTTTAAAATGTTCATGCCAGCCAAACCCTGCAAGTATGGTCTAAAAGTTATGTGTCTAACGGATTGCCAGAACTGGATACCTCTTGAATGCTTATATATATTCTGGAAAGAATTCTGATGGCTATCTGTTAACAGATGAGGAACGAAAATTCTCGAAACCCACTCAGGCGGTACTCAGACTTGCCAAACCTATTTATAACACAAACAGAAATCTTACAGCCGATAAATGGTTTTCCTCAAACGAGCTGGTAAATTTTCTGAAAACTAAAAATCTAACTTTTATCGGAACACTTAAAAAATAAAGGTGAGATTCCTCCTACATTTTTGCCAAATAGAAAAAGAGAGATTGGTTCCAGCATCTATGCATTTACTACTGATACAACCATGTTATCTTTTGTACCTAAAAAAAATAGAGCAGTAATAATGATCTCTTCCATGCACCACAATAAAAATACCGATGTTGAGACTGGTAAGCCAGAAATTATCAGTTTTTACAACACTACTAAAGGTGGAGTGGATAGCTTGGACCAAAAGTGCAGTCTTTATTCTTAAGCTTTTACTTACCTCAACTCACCGATTTTTTAAAGATAAGTTACCCTATGGGGTAGCTTTGTCAGATTAAGAACCGCACATAAAAGCGCTGGGCCGCTTTACTTTGGCTGAACGCGCTTAACAACTCGAGAAACTATGGAATATGAATGACACAACATTGATTCCGAATGATCCATTAGCAAAAAAAGCCAAGTGCTATTAAAATCTGCTCTTTCTTTTTTGAGATAGAATTGTGGCGATTATTATCTAACGGTTCTGGAAGGTTTTCAAGATCCTTCAAAAACGGTTTTACTCATAGAAACGACATCTATTCTTTTTTATACATATTTAAAAGAACCTCTTCTTTTTGAAATTTTGTCTGGTTAACTTCTTATCCGCCTGAAATTGAATTGAGCTAACTTGGTGAATATGAAAAAATATTTATTGCTCCCATCAAAAAAGTACCTGTATTAGTCCGTTAAACTGGTCAGCATATGGTGTATAGTGCGGGGAACGAATTGCTTAAAATAGTCGCGCGTGGCAACACCGCCGCACGATCCTTTGGTCCCCTCTTCGTGGCTCCGTTTTGTTGTTACCCATTGCCTAACTGCGCCTGCGCCATTTCACTCCCCCGGCTTTGGTTAGTATGCAAGCCTTGAGAGGGAAGGGGCAGCGAGAACAACCAGCGAACCAGCTTTGCGCGGGAATAGGGAGTTGGGGATGGCGGTTTCATACTAACAGGAGCGTTGTTGCCAGACGCACATATTTTACTGTAGATCTACCGTTTTCGGTCTTGGTATCTCTACCGCAAAACGCTCAATTTATAAGTAACCCCTTTCACTTTCTTCAGTTTTCAGCATCGGACTGCTTAGGTAAGCGCTCACATATCACTCTCCACCCCCTTCGCCGTTACGTGATGCATTGTAATAGCTCTACCGGTAATTTAGGGAATCTAATACATTTTAAAGGTCGGTCACGTCACGTATACCATCTTCTGCATTTTACATTTTTGATCTGACAGCACTGACAGACATCTGCTCCTGTCAACATAAACTTGGGCATCTGATCGCTGCTACTAGTCACTTGTCGCTGCCTGCTCGGGGCATAATGGGTATGGCGGCTGGAAATTTGCATACTTAACATAGAATTGTGAACAATATTGAGGATTTTTAGGATCTGCCGCGCAACCCTGAGGCAATTTGCAAGCCTTCTGCTCTTCAATAGGATTTGAAAACAATTTTTGTCCGATATTACAATTTATGAATCTACAAAAAAAATATTGCTACGTTTTAGAGTTGAGGAACCTAAGGAAAACGAAGTTTGCTATGCTTCCAAAAACAAAAATGGTTGGGAAAACAAGTTTGGGAAAGCATTTCTGGTTACCATACCATTATCGGTATCGCTATAGTCCCTGTAATTACCAAAAAGCCTTTCATCACAGCCTTTAGTAGTTTCCACAAGCATATAATTTTTTGTAATTTAGCTGTTGATCGAAATTTTGGTGTTTCATTAATTGACGTATTTGTGGACAAGAAAAGTTACTTCTAGCTTTGGAAAAACATACCTTAAATATAAAAATTGTTCCTATTTCTTATCCATTGCCTTCACAGAAGTCTTGATTAAGCAAAATTTATATGCAGGAGAGGTAAAATGACGTTTTCAGGATCAATTAAGGGCAGGAAGATATCGTAAACTTGACTTACCACACAAATTGTCTGTTCATTTTGGCTTATCTCTAATCAAAGTATGCTTATCCGTACTCTGCTGTCTCACTTGCAAAGAAAAAAAACAGTAGGATCAAAATTCCATAATGCGGCTCAGCGGGCTCATTTTTTTTTTCTTGAGAGTACCTATGGAGGTAACTTTTCCATTTTTTCCCCTATTCCTGTCATTGGAAAGAATTACACCCCATAGCATATCACTAATCCGAAGTAGAATTGTCTAAGGAAATCAAAATCGATTGTGGTGTGAGATCTTGTTAAATAGATATTTCAGTCAAAATTGATTTGTTCGAAATTTTTCACTGCTTCATTGTGCTAACAATTTATTCGAATACTTTCTGGAACAAAAAAATGGCGTTAAGAAATTTGTCTTTGTTCTTCCACCGCTATGGTGTCATCAGTTGGTGAAGGATTATGCTTGGCACAAGTGTTAGCCCTTCTGAGAAAAAAGATCTACGAACATGTAAGGTAGGTGCGGGCAATTACGCCCGGTGGTTAATAACGCCCGTTTTTAAATTTGGCGCTTTGCACTGGATTATTTGAAGCTAACCTAGGTTATAAGGGACATAAATCAAATTCAAGCGGATAACCAAATGAAAATGGTATTTACCATTTTGGGTTGGTATTTACCGATCCGTTCAAGCGAGTGTGGTTATCAGTTTGGATATAAGATCCGTGACGTCATGAATCAGCTGTTAAATGTCAAAGTTATCACCGCAAAATTGTGGTATTTACCCAACTCGAGTAGTTTTATATTTCTGGTTATTATTTGAAATGTGACAAGTTAGAATTTTGCCGGGTATTGGATATTGTTATTGTACTTCAGCTTCATTTTTGGGAAACTTGATTCAGGCTGACTTCAGTGTTAGCATAAAGTGGAGCACATTATTAGTTATACTCATTACTGTTGTTGGGAACACTTTCAATCTAGTTCCTATGTTTAACAAAGTATCCCGTGTAGCCATATACCACAAGAATATTAAAATATGGCCATTTAACTCACTGGATGATGTCCACCTGTATACGGTTTTGCTAATATCCTTTTTCATCGTCTTTTTCATCATTTCTGCTATATCAATAAATGCTTTCTTTGACATGAGGAAAACTTTAGAGAATTGAAAGTTATCATAGCTACAAAACCATGGTTACATCATTAAAAATTTCTGAAAAAAAAAACATTTCTCCCATGAATATTATGAAAGGTTTCTTATTTAAACTTTCCATACACCGTTGTAGAAAATAAATTACCCATTATTAAATGATAATAAAAATAATCAGAGATTATATACGCACTTTTCTAAAATAAACAACTTGCAACAAAACCGCGGTTAAAACCAACGCGTTCAAGCGATTCGTGTAACTGACGTCATCAACCCGTGTGTCATCTTGAACCATATTATAACCGCGGCACATAACACAGAAATTTTGGTTATTCGCTTGGATTTGATTTGATTATACTCGACTGTAGTAAGACGAAGACAGTGATAGTCGACGCCATTAGCGAGTTTGCGCAGTCAGTTAAAACCAGGCATACAAAATAGGTGGTTGTGCGATCCATTTTATAAAATTAGGTGCTGCAAATAAGTAAGTAAAAGTAAGGCGAAGACAGTGATAGTCGACGCCATTAGCGAGTTTGCGCAGTCAGTTAAAACCAGGCATACAAAATAGGTGGTTGTGCGATCCATTTTATAAAATTAGGTGCTGCAAATAAGTAAGTAAATTTGTATTTTAGCATGATAAATGGTTGTTATTTTGCACACGTAATGATTAAGGTCTACGACAAGCGAATAGCTAATAGTTCTGTTTTTTTTCTTGAATTGGCTATTTTTGTTTTAAGTAGTGGAGCGTGTAACAACGCCCAGCCAAATGGGTGGGCGTTATTAAACAGCCTAAGCGGGCGTTATTAAACAAATGAAAACATGATATTTTTAAACTATTTCAGAAGCGATTAGGCATGGAAAAGAAATCGTCGACGCCAGTCCGATAAAGAGGTGTAGGATGGGACGAAGCGAATATGGAGGCAGCCATTCTGCCAGTATCAAGCGGGATCTTAACTCAGAGAGCTGCGTCGGAGAGATATCATATTCCCAGAAGAACACTTTGGGATCATCTCAAACCCGGAAAATGCGTTAAAAGATTTGGCCGAAGAGCCGTGTTAAATACAGAACAAGAGAAAGATCTAGTGCAAAGGATTCTGCGTTTGGCCGATATAGGGTTGCCGCTTACATTGAAAACGTTACGTTTTAATGTTTTCAAGTTATGTGAAATAAACAACATCCCAAATAATTTCAATACAAAAAGCCAAAAAACAGGAAAGGATTGGATGAAATCTTTCTGAAAAAGAAACCCTATTGTATCAAAAAGGAAAGCACAATTTATGAATCAAGCAAGAGCGCAAAAACTGAATAAGTTCATAGTAGAGGACCATTTCAAAAAAATTGGTAACTTATTAGATAAATTGAAGTTAAAACACAAACCTGAGAAAATCTTCAATATGGATGAGAGAGGTTGCCGTCTGACCCTATCATCAACCTACCGTTCTTGCACAAAGAGGTGTGAAGAGGGTTCATTTTGTCTCAAATGAATATGCCGAAAATGTTATCGTGGTGGTATGTGTATCCGCCATTGGTAATCCAATTCCAATAATGATGATTTATAAAGGGTAAAAGAGCTAAGCCAGAATATTGTGACCATTTGCCAACGGGCAGTATAGTGAGGATGTCCCCTAAAGGTTATATGCATGACCACCTAACTCTTTGTTGATTTTATAAAGCACCTTGCCAGTTTTACGCCACCTGGCAAAGTTCTCTTAGTGTTTGATGGTGCAACAGATTGAAAAAAGTTTGTTAAGTGGGCGTTAATACCCTCAGGTACCTTATAACAAAAAATTAAATGACCTTCCTCCCCCTGAGAGGAATTGCTGCGGGCGCAAATGCTCGTTGCAATGACCAAACCCGCCCGAAGGACGATGTTAACCTTTACCATGCATAGTAATAATAATAATAAAGCATTTATTGCCAAACAGTACAAGATACCATTTAGAGAGCAATACGTAGTACAATGGTTTAATTTACACAGGCTGTGTACCATAAAGTGAAAAAAAAAACGCAAAAAAGAGAAAGGCGCTTTAAGTAGAAAGAAAAAAAACTGTGAATATGATTCATAGATAATAGGAAAAAAATACAAATATCTATGTATAGCTATATCATGTAAGGTTCACACATGATATAACAAACAAAAACACATAGTGAAAGGGGTAAAGAAAATTCAAAGATGTGAGCGTATAGCACTTATTAATTCCTGAAATCCACAACTGAAGATACCACAAAAGTCCAAATCCTATTCGCATTATTGCACATAAAGTTTATTGGTGCTTTAGATAGAAGATTTGTCTGTGCCCCTTGCAGAAAGAAGAATCTTTATATTTGGAATGTCCATGTGTGGGGACATCTATGATGAGTGAAATATGCCTAACATGTGCGTGGAATCACTGGGGTTGGACGCGTATAAATATACCAAATTTAATTTTGTATCAGCGCCTTTAAAATGGGTCGATTAGGCTTTGGCTCCTATTTTCGAAATTTTGACCCAAAATTGACCATACCGCAGGGCGGCTCATGTCTCAGATTGGGCTCTACCTTTTTCTGATGAATACCGATGAAGGCATGAGACTGTTAAAAGTCCTAGGTAAGATGGTTCGGTCTGGAGAAGCATGCATGTTCGAATTTTCGGAAATAGTGTGAAATTCAACGTTTTGGCGACTAATGTATTGT